TCAGTTATAGAAATCGATTCAACAGATCGAGCCATATTGAGTATTCTACTTGGAAGTAGTTAAAGTCTCTCATAGTCGGACTCCGGCTCCGACAACGTAAATACTACTCAACATCTGTAGAGAAGGTAGAACTTCATTTTAGTCCTGCCCTTTCCCTCACAAACGAGAGGAATGTTCGATAAATCACGACCAGCTAGTCGAGATGCGTCAGTCCAGAAGGAAGGGCAAGAGTAGCTTTACTCAAAGAGCACAGATCAATACATTCAAGATGTGATACTGACCCGGCCTACTACGACCCAAAAACGTTTCCTTCTCATTGCTTCACCGAGCGGCACTCTGGAGGACATTGATAGGCGCCCTGATAGGACCGTCAAATCAGCAGACATAAAGCTCTTGTTCTACATTAGATCCTCAGCGTGCAGTCATACCATAGTAGTTTCCAGTGCCCTTCATGCCAGGCAGGAAGTTTAATCATAGTGTAGGCGTTTGTATTCTGATTCAGACACTTCAAGTCTTTCAATAACTCAGACTGCAGTTCAGATTTGAAAGGTAAAAAGAGCATCTAAATGCAGATACACTCTTTCAAAGATCTGAATCGAGTAGTGAAGATGAATCAATGGCCTCATGACTCCCAGACACTCTGGCTGTCGACTTGCAGCTGGATGATCGAAAGCCTTGAAATATTCATATTGACCTCTGGCAAAACAACATGTTAAGCAATCTCAATAACGAAAATTTAAACGCCCAAGCAAGCATTTAAAATTTCCATGGCTTAATCTCATGGAAGATTTCAGAAAGGATCCTGAGACGGTTTAAGATATAGAAAGAGGTGCAAGAATAAGTTCGCGATCCCGAGGTCGGGCCACTTCCCGGAGTGTTAGAAGTGCTACCAAGATCTCCTGAACGACTTACAACGTCATAAACTCATGATATCCACGCAATGGCATTCCCGGATGAAGACAATCATTCATACAGCTCGTGGAAACATACAGGTGGCCAAGTTGAGTAGGTAGTGGTAATGCAATGTATCCGGGGTTGTATGGGTAGTACTTTGCACAGTAATTTTGTGATACAAATCTTCTGTTGAATCGATGTGATAAAAGAATGATCATATTACATATATACAAAGCCTCAAGAATTATCAATGGAATGGTCAACTTTAAAATTCTCAAAATTAGTCGGTGTTCCTGAAATAGTTAAGTGTTGACTGCCTTCACAAACCACAATCGGGAAGCCCTCGCTAATCCGACCAGAGACTCAACCTAGACACTTAGTAGTCCTTCGACATTTATCAAACAAAACTACGATGGCAAATGGAACGTGAAGAGTAGATTCTCGTACTTTTAGATCTAATTGATGTAGATGGAGATTCAACAAGATGTTGTGAAAGGCTAGTGATTTAGCATCAACGTGGTTTTCCCTGACTCTGACTTCAATGGAAACCAATGAAACTGAAGACATTAACAATGCGACGCTACACGGGAAAATGGTTTAATATGTGTGAAGTGTATGTCAATGTAATATCACACGGACTTGTCTACCATATCATTCGCATTAAAGGAACTGTTCAGCTAAAGAGGTCTTGACCGAAGCATTGAAAGTAGTTGAAAGAAAAGGAAGACTTCTAGACAGTTAGAATATAAGTTAGGTAATGATGATAAAGTAAGTACTCTAGTATAATAGTATCTTCCCTTGCATTAGGTGATTAGTTTATGTTATATTGTTTTTGGAATGTTGCCCCTTGTACATATATAACTGACACTTCCGAGTGGTCTTCATTTAGGCCCAGCCACAAAATACCTCTTGTCCCCTCTCTTCTCTCTCTCCTTCTTCCACTTCTTCAATACAACCTTTTGACCACCACCACAACACCACAAATCGTACTTTTGCTTCGTTATATTCAACAACGTCGCGATTGTACCCTCATAATTCTTTGATGTCTCCAATATTCATTCAATAATTTTCATCACCAAGAACCTTGTATTTCTTACTCATCAGTTTTCGCTGTTGAGTAGAGAGAGCAAGCCACAGCCCGGTGGATCCTACTCGTCAACTTTCGCGTCTTCTCCATAACATACATTAATGTTACAACAATAACGCGACACAATTTGATCACTATGTTTTCCAATTTACTAGATAGAATGGGCGCATCGTCTCGCTCTTCTAGTAAGCACGAAATAACGCGTGCCCCTTCATCGGAATCAATCGATACTTCAATCACTGTCGACGACACCTCAAACTTAAATTCCTCTACATCTACACCTCCAACAAGCATTGGAGACAATGTTAGTGTCACCTCTGCCACCGGCAAGCCCGAGCCCATCGCCGACGAGGCATCAATTGCACCCGAACATACAGATAGACGAAGTCAGCGAGCACGCGCAAAGGTCGGAACCTATAATGCTAAGATTCTTGCCGGCACAGCCGTACACACCCCCAAGAAATTTCTAAAGGACAAGAGCGCTCCAGGCAATGAAGCACGGCGACAAACTATATCAGGAGGCGAACTGGCTGATGCATTGGGCCCGGCAACTGCGTCTGCAGGCACTGTAGGAAAGAATGCACAAAAGTTGGTTAGTGAGGGAATTGACGCTCTCGACTTGTCTTGGTCAGTCAAGAAATTGCCTAAGTCAGCCAGCAAAATCAATCACAAAAGCCCCAAATGTACTGCTGCTAAGAAGGAGGATCTTTCTCGAAGAAAGTCTTTACGATCAACACCTGGCGAGAAGGCGGATGGGTCCAAGAAGAAGATTAGCTTACTGGGAAAGAGGGATCGAAAGGAAATGGAAGGAGGTCTTCAGAAGGCAAAGCGGGAGCTCAGAAACCTTGCAGACACGAAGGAATTTGCAAAAATCGAAACAGAGCCTGTCGTATTGGAAGTCTGGAGTAACGGAAAGCTTGTGAAAAAGGAGTCGGCAAGGAAGAAGAAGAAGGCAGAGGAGGCCCAATCTCAAGTCTCCGAGCCGGAGCCTACCAAGACCCCAGCAAAGAAATTAGCGCAAGGTAGGAAAGAGAAAGCTTGGTTGACGAAGGGACTCTACGCGGGACAGGATCCGGCCAATCTTGACTGGTTCAAATCTTCTGGAAATACAAAGTCGCCTTTTAAGTGGACTGGAAAGCCAAACAAAGCCCTGCCACTACCCTTGTGGAACGGCCAAAGATTACTACACGTTGGAAGAGATTTTAAACTGCCTTTTGACATTTGTGCTCCACTCCCACCAGGACAACCTAAACCTACCGAGTGGTACAAGACTTCTCATAGTAAGCTTTATGAATTCAATCGCTCTTATGTATTTGCTAATTTTTCTGATAGATCGATTCATTGGAGAAGCTGGTTCAATGTGGAAGAAGTCAAGCTTGTTTGATAGTTTCTTCTCCAAGTGTATCTGTAAGCCGGATGCAGGTTGCGATGAAGATTGTCAGAATAGAATCATGCTTTACGAGTGCGATGATACCAATTGTGGCGCAGGACGAGACAGTTGCACCAACCGTGCATTCGCTGAGCTCTTTAATCGTCGCAAAGGCAACTCGTTCCGAAAAGGTGGCAACAAGTATGAGATTGGCGTTGAAGTTATCAAAACAGCTGATCGTGGCTACGGAGTTCGAAGTAATCGCTGCTTCAACGCAAATCAAATTATCGTTGAGTATACAGGAGAGATCATTACTGAAGACGAATGTGACAGACGTATGAATGAGGACTATAAAGATAATGATGTAATTACTTCTTTCCACTTTTCAGTACAAAATCAGTTGGCTAACTATCATTCAATAGTGTTATTATCTAATGTCATTTGATCAGAACATGATCATTGATGCGACCAGGGGTAGCATCGCTAGATTTGTTAACCATTCCTGCAGGCCAAATTGCAGAATGGTGAAGTGGATTGTGGAGGGCAAGCCGCGAATGGCTCTGTTCGCTGGCGATAATCCAATTATGACTGGTGATGAGCTCACCTATGATTACAATTTCGACCCATTTTCGGCCAAAAATGTTCAAGCGTGTCGCTGTGGCAGTGACAATTGTCGCGGTGTATTGGGGCCTCGACCAAAAGACCAAAAATTCATTAAGGCCACCACCATTAAAGATGTCGTTAAAGCCGGTCTCAAGGCCGGCAAGCGAAAGCTTCAACAGATGATTGGTGATGACGAAGACGACGAAGACGCCCAGGTTCAAAAGAAGCGAAAGACGAAGACGGCCACAGGAGTCAAATCATCCATATCTACAGCTACCACAAATGTTGCAAAATCAGTCAAGAAAACAGTTTCTTCACAACTTTCGAACGCTCGTCATGTAGTTGGCTCTAGCAAGAAAACAATCAACGTTAGTCAAGCCACGGCCGGCTCACTCAAAACATATGGAAAGAAGCAGATGAAGCTCTCTTCAAGCAGCACAAATTTAGCTATCGTTTCGCCAGAGAGAATTTCCAAGGGCAAAGAAATGAGGAGAGAAAGTGTGACGAAAAGTATAGCACGAAGTAGGCGTTCTACTAGACGATCCAGCGTGTTTGATGATGCCAATGAGAGTACGATTCGAGTTGTCACTAACTTTGAAGGAGAAGAAGAAGAAGAAGAAGAAGAAGAAGAAGAAGAAGATTAAATGAGGGACCTGTAACCACGATAAACACAAATTTTGGCTGCATTGTTAGAGGGTGTTGCTGCGCGCGGGGGAAAGGGGGGTTGCTAGGATCGGAATGGGCACATGGACTTTTATCTTATTTGGGCTGCTGGCATGGCTAAATCTTCAACGACAGGCGTATGGCTTCTTTTTGTATGAATATCTTCTAATAGTTCCTCAACATCAACTTTCGGGATTTCTTACTTCAATTTTGACTCACCTACCTTCGACTCGTGAATAAAAAAAAACGTCTAATCGAGGGAGAATGCACAATTAGCAATTAGATTGCATGCAGCCGAGCCGAAGCCAGCCCGCCTATCTAATCGAGATTTTAATGCCGATTTGTATCCACCGCCTTTAGAGAAATATTTCCGAAGACATCATAGAATTATCAACTCTGCCATAGGGACTTCAAATCATTTATTTTAATTAAGCAAACTTTGGTCAATTTCTTTTAATTTGCTACCATCGTATTTTCTGTTTAACATGATACCATTCACATAATATAACAAGCCCACAAAAAATATAAACCCCGCCACAGGCCAGAGAGAAGAGAGAACTGGGAAAGTTCTCTCCACAGACATATTCATGAACACCACAGAAGATCGCAGCAAACGCGCACTGCCCGAGCTGCATTTGACACAATCTAGAGAAAATGGAGATCTAGGACCTTCGCAATCAGGATATGTAGCAAAAGTAGCAGTAAAACCTGTCCCAGTTGCTAAGTCATGGGCGCATTTCGTTGCTGGAGGGTAAGATTTGCCCCTCCCTCATTTTAACAATCGACGCTTCAAGATCCAACACTAACATATTTCTGACTACAGTGTGGGGGGAATGACAGCCGCAGCTCTCACAGCACCTCTCGATGTCCTAAAAACACGCTTGCAATCCGATTTCTACCAAGCACAACTGGCGCAGAGTCGTCTGGCCAAGGGGATTTCTCCACATGCACATCTCTCGCCACTACGTAGCGGACTTTTACATTTTCGTGAAACTTTCCAGATCCTCGGGTCAGTACATAGACTTGAAGGATATCGTGCGCTCTTCAAAGGATTGGGGCCAAATCTTGTAGGCGTGGTTCCCGCGAGATCGATAAACTTTTTCGTTGTGGGCAACGGCAAGCGAATATTGGCGGGGTATAATGGCGGGGTGGAATCAGCTTGGGTGGTCTGTCTTGCGGCTGCCGCTGCTGGAATTACGACGAGTACGGTTACAAATCCTATCTGGTTAATCAAAACTCGATTGCAACTGGATAAGAATGTGGCCGAGAGAGCAGGAGATGTCGGGAAGAGACAGTACAAGAACAGTTGGGATTGTATCAAGCAGGTTGTAAAGGGAGAAGGAATACGGGGCTTATATAAGGGAATGAGTGCGAGTTATCTGGGTGTTACGGAAAGTACGTTGCAGTGGGTTCTGTATGAACAGATGAAGAAAAGTTTGGAGAAGAGAGAGGAGAGAATAACCTTGAGTGGGAAACCCAGGAATTTCTTGGATCACTCAATACAATGGACTGGAAGTCTCGGAGCAGCAGGTTTTGCAAAACTTGTTGCGGCACTTGCAACTTATCCTCATGAGGTAAGCTCGAGTCTATACTCCTTGCTAAATGATATGCTAACAGTACATGTAGGTTTTACGAACACGCCTAAGACAGGCACCTTTAGATCATGGACGCCCCAAATATACAGGACTCGTTCAATGCTTTAACCTCGTTTGGAAAGAGGAGGGAATGGCTGCTTTATATGGAGGCTTAACGCCGCATCTATTACGAACAGTGCCGAGTGCTGCCATCATGTTTGGCATGTATGAGGGAATATTGAAACTACTGGAAAAGCCAGCTTCACCTTGAGAATGGTACGGATGAGCTGGGTAGATGTACAATACATGAATAGGATTTTACGATGGCGTTTGTATCAAAAAAGCGGCACATGACGACTATCAGGACTTATGGTATTCCACTTCAGGCAGGATCGGTTACATGCAATGTACATTATGAAATCTATGGCGCTTTGTGGAAATGGATGTGGGTTGATAGATCATTGGCATATTGTATCTATATGTACATTGGCCATAGTAGGGTGGACATTCCGCTCCAAAGACTCAAATAGACGAGAGCAGTTTTGCAGAGGCAATAAACACAGGTCTATGATATCAAATATTTTCTAATGTGCTTGATTCTGATATAGCTGATATAACAGAACTTGCAGTTAAATTGTGCAAGCAACCATTTCCCCAGAGTGGTCAAAATGCAGCCACCCACCAGCTAAACGCCTTTGGTATATGTGAGAAAATCTAAATAAAACTACGGCTAACACCCCCCCACCCCATTTTGAGTATGAAATTACCATGCTCCCATATTTGTAAGCTATCTTATCATATTTCAGGTTTCCTGCATTGGAGCTTAGGACATTGTTTGTACCATTGATATCGTCTTTCCCATGGTATGCGGACGTCGTTTCTTGAGTTTTCGTGGAACATGTTGAGTCTTCACTTCCAAATTCTCCCAACGACTTCACCAAGCATTCCGATCCCAGTTTGGATCTGCCACTCATAGATTAACATAGCTCCTTCATTATCAAGTGATCCCAATCCCTGATCCGAAGCTCCGGAGATAGGATAGCAAATGGTGTCAAGAAAACCAGAGTCACTCACCTTGTACAAATCCAGCCAAAACCTTACTACCCGTCTGTAAGAGAGGATGTCCGACGACAATCTGCAAGAATCGCTCCAAGCCCTCTCTGCGATGCTCAATCACATCGTCGCTAAATCTGTTGGTGAAGACCTTTCCGGGTAGAGGGGGGATGGTCACGCGCGCACTTTCGCGCTCCAAGAGGTCGCGGAAGTATTCGAAATCGCTGTAGCGGCGGCGGACGGTCGAATTGCGCAGCTTGAAGGCGGGAATGTTGGTGCTGCAGTTGATTTCATAGTCGGTGTACATGCTGCGGCCGATGCCGTGGGTTTGGGGATCGCGGACCTAAGAGGGGAGGGGTGAGTTGGTGGTTTGTTTGTGAGGGGGCAGGTGGGAAGTTGGAGGAGGAGGAGGAGGAGGAGGGGGAGGAGGAGGAGGAGGAGGAGGAGAGAGGGGTGGGGGTTGGGATGCTAATATATTGTTGTATAGCATAGAATGGGAATGGGATAACACACTTCTATTTCAAGAAAGTTTTCAGGAGGTCCGTAGATTTCTTCGAAGCTTTGTTGACGAGAATCGGGCATCGCCTGCATGGCAGATGGTATGCTAGATCTCCCTGGGGATGTAGGACTTTTTGGAGAGGTTTGGCCTGCGACGGATGATTGTGTTGATTGCGCCATTTTTGAAGGGTATCGAAATGCGATACGGTGGTATAAAGGGATTGACTATTCGATTATGCAAAGAAATGATTGGAAAATATGATGATTATTTTGATCTTTCCTTGATGTGACGTGATATATTTTTGTGGAAGAAATTGACTTGTTGACTCTTTATTATTACCTAGGAAGGTTGTTATATTATGTAGGTGGGCTGGGTAGGTAAGGTTATGCACTTCTCGCACATGCGTGCATCTTCTGTATTTGGGTACGTACTGGTTGGTATACGCGCGGAAGTTTACAATCGGAACTGGAATAGGAATAGTAATAGCACAAAGTAATGATTGATTATTGGAAGGGGCGTGGTGGATCCATTAGAATTGAGAAAAGCGTCTTCTTTTCGTAGTTAGGGTTTTGGTGGTGGTGGTGGTGGTGGTGGGCCAAATTATTGGCTTTGGAGCTTTGGAGCTTTGGAACTTTCGAACTTTTTGGATTCTTGGATTTCCCCTCTTTTACAATGAGAGATGAAGGAGGCAGGAAGGAGAGGGGAGGGGAGGGGAGGGGAGGGGAGAGGGAGGATAATCAATCAATCAATCAATCATATCTTGGTATCATATGATTTATACCAATCGAATGCAAACATCTCTGCTAACCCCTCCTTGCCAACATGTCAACAAAAATAAACAAGTAATCTTCTGGTATTTGTTTGTTTTGTTCTCTTTGGCTCTCGATTCCGATTCCGATTCCGATTTCGATATCGATTTCTATTTGGCTTTTCTTTTACTTGTAGAATTTATCTACAATCTATCTATTATACAAGCCTTGTTTGCAAACATAGAACTATCTATCTAGCATTCCCTCATCACTTAAACCTTTAACTCCAACATCAATCTTACCTTGTTGCTTTTCCAGCCTTTTCAGCTTTGCCATTACATTTCATTGTACGAGCGCACTCTCGATCAGCTTTTGTGATTTTCCCGAGTGTCATCCTGTGTTTGCTTCTCCTCGATAGTCATTAATATCCGCCATGGACGTTGCTAAGAAGTTGATACCATGGGCAAGGCCACTTGTGAGCTCCATCACGACTAATTTCAATGTTCAAAATAGAACTGATTCAATATAGCTTCTGGTCATTCTGACTGCTGTAGCTGGGTAGAAAGCTCCAAAGTACATTCGTTGATGGTCTTAGACTGATACTTGCTAGCTATGCATACTCACAGATTCGCACCCTTTCCCTTCCTATCTCCCAAGCTCTCGCACTATTTACGCTCGTCCTGCCGCTCGTCACTGGAATATCTACACAAGGTGCCGTTGGATTGATCCAGCGAGCAAACAAGAAGGAACAAAATCAGCTTACGCTGCCTCTAATTGCCGTTATTGGCTTCCAGTTGGTCTACGAAACTATTGTCGCTACCCTCGCCCTGACATATATGATACCACCAAAATCATTACACTGTGGGTTAGAAGATTCATGGCATGTTCTGTTCAGCGCAAAAGATGATAGAAAGATAAGCGCAATTCAAGATGCGTTTAATTGTTGCGGTCTTAATTCCTTGGGTCACATGGCTTCGCCGATCAAGAATCAGAAGGGTCCCGGGAGCTGTGCGGCTTTGACGGGACGCTCGCAGTGAGTTCATCACTCCACTATCATACGGTGACATATACAAGGCATCGATCTAATAAATCCCACAGAAGCTGTTTTGGTCCCTGGAGACAAGCGGAGCAGGTAAATGCTGGTCTACTTCTACTTGTGGCCGTCGTTATTTTCGCCATCAAGGTAGGTTTCCTTTCTATAGTATCAAGATTCCTACACATCGGATGTATGCTAGCTACGATAGTCCCATCTACCACTTGCACTTTTATGTTACGAGTGGCGAAGAAGTTCTACATGGTTTACCAATGTTCTCAAAACTTTCAGCATGCATAAAAAGTTATTCATGCACAGGTTATCATTTCGCTGGCATTGAAAGGCATTCCACATTGCGGCAAATAAAAGACATCATTCATTTTCTGACTTCAAAACACAGGTGATCTCTATCATAAATCTGCTTACCACCTCATTCTGGAGACGCTCGTACTGGTCTCGACCTATTCACAGCATATCGAGTGTTGATACCGAAGCGCCAGAAGAAGATAATAGGGCAGAGACAAGACGGTTAATCGAGGAAGGCGATGATGAGGAAGAATCTTACCGAGATGAACCCACTCAGAGACGTCTCTCGGGACTGAATGGTTCGGGCCATGGCCAAGGACCAAGAGTTGAGCCTTCTCGCTTGTCACAGAACTATTAGGCAATCTCGATATTTCAAGCATACAATAAGCTTAAGAATGAGATGCATGAGGCTCAACAAGAATCCTAGTATCCTGGTCGATAATCTGGGGCATTTATCTCCACTTGGGGCAATTTCTAACTTTTGAAAGATGATTGGGGCGGATCTGGGGAAAGTGCGAAGGGCGATGAAGGGCAAAAACGAGAAATAGCTGATGATGACATTGAGAGACATATTTTCTGATTTTGGTTATGACGTGATATGATCAGATGGCGCCATTTACATTTATCCTTTCATTTTATCCTACAATACAAGTGCATCTCGATATAAACTCTCAAGACACTTCACTTGAGGCGTAATCAAAATCGGTACTTTTATCCTGACGGTTCTGATATGAATCCTGGCACCTACATGATGCTAATCCAAAATACGTGACCATGGGCAAATCATTAGGCTGAGTGAGGAAGGTATGAGGGTATCTAGATACAACGAGCACTCCATAGAAGAAGTATCGAAAGGTCGCTGATGGGGTCACTGGAAAGATAGACAAACAAACTTGAAGCGATAAATTTATTTTTGGTATAAATACCCATTTTCATATATTTTATATGTCCAGAGAAGCCCACGAAAGCGCTGCAGGCGATAGGGAAAATTGGAAGAACCAACGAGAGAAGCGAAAAATTCAACCGCTTCAGTAGAAGTGCATATTTTAACTGCATACTCGGCGTTACATTGCAGCAAGAAGCGTGATAAAATCTACTCGGTGAGCTAGATTTGGCAATCGAGAGAGCTTTTCCCATTTATTTTCACCAATGAAGGCATGGAAATCATAATAAATCATAAATATTATAGGTTTACAACTTTCCAACACATCTTTTCTTCTTTTCCCACCCTCAATTGTTGGGGCTCTGCATCGCTTCCATCTCATTTGCTTGTTTGAAAATACCTAGATGCGAGATAGACAAACACACACAGCACGATATTCAAGTTCAACCCATCATATATCGCTTATCTCTTGGAAGGAAACAATATCTCGCTCCAGAGTCCAGAATACTGTCGACCTTTCGTTAGCAACTTATCTAATCTACCCAACTTTACTCAAAACTACCTAACATCGTTATACACAAACCAAGATTGCAGAATTCCACACTGTCCATCCCACCCGGTTCTTGAAGAACGGTTTGTGTGTGTACATGTGTGTATGAGTGGGTAGGTGGGTGGTTGTTTATATTACATGTGTACAACCAAGTGTTTCCCGTGTCCCCACGAGTCCCGGTCATGGTCATCTCCGCATAATGCAGATAGTGGTGCAGTGCAGACAGAACAGACCATATACACCCCAGGTCAATCATCAATCAATCAATCAGCAATCATTCATTCATTCATCATCCATTCCACCACCAGTCCACTACATCCCGTATCTATAGTGCCCTTTTCTACCCCGAAAAAGCCAAAGCTTTTAATAAAAAGGATTTTTTTCTTCCCTTTTCTGCATTTCGCACCGCTTTTCTCATACTTCACCCAGTATCAAAGAATAGGTTATCGTTTGTGGAAATAGATAGCCTCGACACAAGATCTTCGATCGGATCTTTCCTCCCATCCCTCCCTCAGTCTTGTAATCTCTATTCATCTATCCATCTTTCCATACCTACATACATATACACACCTACATACATACTGGCACGGTCCACGAATCCAAAGATGACTCTGGCTCGAACAGCTTCACCGCAATGCTTCTGATATTAACATTTCATTTACATTTCGAAAAAGGTCCTGGATAAGCACGCACGTACCGCACAGAATTTGAATAAACGAACGAGAGGAAAAGAATAGCGACAAAACACCTACACATAGGTCATGATTGAAAAGCCCACTTCTCAGAGGGCCCGGGCCGAGTGGCCGAATCCGATCTCACCACAAAGGGTTCGAAAGAGGCCGCAACAGCAATCGTCGCATACTCAGCGCCGTTATTACAGTCCCAGTGCCTCACCGCCTGCATCATCACACTCACACTCACATTCACCATCGTCGTCGCTCTCGTCGCGATCTAGGAGCTCGTCCTTGCGACATAATCCAAGTTACCATATCCGTCTAGATACCCGCCTAGACAGGTTAGACAGGTTCTCGCCGGCGCCCAACTTTGATTATTTTGAGTACCAGGCCGCGATTAATACCTCTCCTTCGTCCTCATCAATCATTGGACATGTCGCTGGTGTTACGACTGCTGGAGATGGAACTTTGAATTTAACGGCGCCTCACACCTCACTCCCAGATGCATCATGGCTGGCGAATTTCTCGACAGGGCCTCTGAATGCCATCCCAATTAGCCCCGATGATGCTGTGAGTCCTGGATACTCGACATACATCGGAACCAATGGCGGTGCTTCATTATCGCTTCAGACCGGAGCTATGCCTGGACTTTCCATGCCATGGGATATCGTGAATTCTACTACACACCTAACTGGACCCTCGGACTTTGAAGATATCTGTATGTCAGAGGCTAATGTGGGAAGCTATGGGAGTCACGGAAGTATGGAACTGGCTTCTGCTTCTGCCGTCTCGGCCACATCCGACACATATGTTTTTCCGTTTGGATCCCCAGGAGGGGCGAGTCCATTACTTGATCTTGAGATTCCTTGTATGTAATGATTTTGCTTGCCGATCTTGTCTATCTCACATGTCCCCTTCTGGAATATCGTGTCCGAACGTTTTTATCTTGTCTCAACTCGAGGTCAACTGCTTTGCTGACGAGGCTACAACAGATTATGTAAACCAAAACATGATGGTCGATCAAGCCATTCAACGCGCCGAAAATATGAATACCTCATTACCTGCTACTTCCACATTTTCCTTCGATAATACATCTACTTCCCTAGATTGGGGATTTAACATGTACCCAACAGAGCCTATAGCTCCTTCAGTAGCCCCACTACTTGAAGCTCCAAACTTACTTCCGAGAGGCAGATACATACGTTCACAAGATCCCTGGAATTCGCACGATGCAAATGGCAATGTCTTCAACGAGAACCCTAACGCCAACTGCGTCGCATATGAGCCCGAGCCAGCTCCGTTAAATTCTTACGAACACGAGCGATCTCCTTTATCCTATGAAACGTCATCACCCGTGGATAGCGATAGATTAATTGTAACTGCACATGGCCAACCAAGCCACGATGTATATGGGCCAGAAGCACCAAGACCTAATTGGTTTGACGAAAGTGATACATCAACCTCTTATTCCAACACTTTGTATACTCCTTCTCATGGCTC